TGCTGAAGGCAACCGTTTGCAAAGTGCTTCTTGGAATCCTGGTCTGTTCATCTTGTTTGCAACGTGTTCCTGTGGACTATTTCCTTCCTTTGGACTTGAGGTTTGCTGTTTGTGTTTCGGACTTATTGACAGGATTGTCACCCAAATAAAAGGGATTTTGTTTTGTTTTAAAGTTTCCAGCCTATTGTATCAGCAGGGGAAGGACGGCAATAGGCTGGGATAGAACACCCTGCCTTCAGGTGCTTTGGAGAATAGATTGACCCCCTATTCTTTGTGGCAGCCTCTCAAATATTGAAACACGATCATGTCAATCCCATTCACCAGATTTGACATATTCAATTCTTGCAACCGTTCTTCATATATTTTAGCTTCCAATCATCTTTGTTGCTCTTCTCACCACTCTTTCTAGAATCTCAACATCTTTTTTCATATTGTACAATCTAAACTGGATGCAGTATTCTAAATGTGGTCTTACCAAAGCATTATAAAGCGATATTAACACTTCACATGATCTTGATTCTATCCCTCTGTTAATACAGTCTTAAGCTTTTTTTGGTGGCTGCAGCACACTGCTGAATCATATTTAAGTGGTTGTCCATTCCTAGATTCATCTCGCACTTACTGCTATTGAGCAAGGTTCTACCTATTGGAACTAGCTTTCAGTATACCAAACTTTAACTGCAATTTCCTACTCACTGAAAATTGTTCGGCATGTATAATTCAGTCAAGCAGATGCAATGAGAATGTTTATTGCATGGATTAAATTTTGTACTTCATTGTCAGAGCTCAATTAGTGACAGGAGATTCTCAAAGTAGGAAGGCAGAGAATGTAAACCCCACTACTTTCAACTAAGTTTGAGGAAGTCTGAGAAAAAGGCAAAATCTTTTTTTTTTTTTGTAAGAAGACAGCAGAAAGGATTGAAAGAATATAAATTATAAGTATAAATTCTGCCCATGACTGTCAAATGATTTTAATGGCTTCCTTTCTCAAATTGCAAGATTTACTTCGTTTAGAGGTAGAATTTCTGCCTAGGCTTCCAGTCGCATAATCTTCATAAATCTACAGGTGGCAAGTCTACAGAAATGACACTTCCAAACCAAAGACATCAACCAAAATAATTAGACTTCCCTAAGATTGACACAACCGTAGGGAAGTCTAATGATTTTGGTGGGTATTTTTCGTTTGGAAGTGTCATTCCTGTAGACTTGTCATCTATAGATTTATGAAGATTATGAGACTGCAAGATACTTCCACCAGAATCAAAAAGTAACTGGATTTTGACAAGCAGCAGCCTGATCTTGGTCTGACCTCCTGATTCTTCTGATGTGAAGCAAATGAATTCTCCAACTCTCCTTATGGTCCATGTAGCTGTTTAAGCAAGAGATAACAGCACACAATAAAGCCAGGCAGTTGGAGATATATATCCTTGACAAGTGGAAGTGAAGCATTCATAATTATGAATATCTTTGGACCAGCTAAATTAAAAAAATAGCTGTCTTCCCTATAGATAAGTTTAGTGCTATTCTTCCTTTTTTGCTATAGGGAAGTTAGTTCATGCATTATAATATAATGCTTCCTGTGTTGTGACTTTTTTAAGGCAGGCTGCCAAATTCAAAAGTGTGCAAGTGTGTGTGTGTGTGTGTAGTGGCAGCCTGCAAAAAACCATGCTTTCATTAGTTTCTATTTCCTACTGAACTTTTTAAAATGTTCGAAGTACATTTTTCTGAAAGCTACCAAGTTAATTTTACTGAGTTGAGTAGCAGCATTCAGGATAGATTACCAACCATTTACTGCTGTGATTTTGTATGTACCTATGGCAAAAAAAGGAAAATGATTTTATTGTTTTGTTTTATGGGAACACTGCAAAATATTCTGACAAAATATTTCCAAAAGGGGCTATTCTATTTTAAATTTTGTTTTTTTTTTTCAGTTTGTGGCTAGCTCTAGCTAGCATCAACCATTTGAGAATTAACATTTCATCCTAAATCCTGACCATCTCTTCCAATAGTTTTTTATTTTTACTGCTTCACTCTGGATTGACACCATTTTTGGAATTGTGCCTTGCAGACTCTGAACTTTTCTTGCCCCCTGAGCTCTCTTGTTTGTGAATTTAAGTTTTGCCTGGTGGATTTGTCTAGTGGAGTTATTTTGTTTGAGCAACGTTCAAGTGCTTTGTGGACTATTGGGCCATTGCTTTGACTAACCTTGGTCTGCTCGTGGCTGGACCTGATTGGGACAGTTCTGGGGTTTGGGTGAAGGGAATTGCTGGGGAACATTAATAAACTCATTAAACCACAATTACATGTGTGTGTGAGCGGGGAGCACAGTCTCATGTAATTTTATGCATTTAGTGCGCAGTACCAGCAACTTTATTTGCTCAAACTGCATTGTATAAAACAGTCTGCCTAGGAAAGGCAGTAGGAATATAATCAACTTCCTTAGTTATTGTTTCTGGATAATGACAACCAAGAACAATTGATTGGGAAATATAAGTTATCTCAAGGTGTAGAGTCAGACAGCCTTATCACATGCTCCTAAGATTCTGTGCTACTTTGCTTAGCTCAGAAAACCTGGCAAGAGGTGTTAAGGAATTATTTGGGACCGGTTGCAAAAAAATCTTATGGCCAGTGACTATTCTGTTTTCTCCATTATGTATTTTCAAGAGAAGAAAGGAAAAAAGAAACAATGGAATTCAAAATAGCTGTAGGAAAAAAACAATGTAATCAAATGCTGCAAAGACCACTTCCAGCTTCTGTTGTACATAGCATCTCCATAGTATGTTAACCAGAAGAAATCAACTAGAGTCATTAGAACACTGATTCTACATTTCCCATTTCCACAACGATTGTCTTCAGCTGGGAATAGTATTCAATTGCTGCTTTGCCATTCTCTCGTCCAAATCCTGAAAAGAGAGATAAATTTATGATAAAACTGTAACCATATGCTCTAAAAATGTGCAAAATGCAACAGAGAATTAGGAATCTGTCGAAACAAACTTAATAGTCTCATTCTAGAAGTTGACTTCTTAGATTCCTAATGATAAAATATAAATGACAACTTCTTCATGTAAAAATCAAGTGTTTCCCCCCTACCCACTCAGTGAGCAGTTATGAGTCAAACATACAGTTTACAAATCTAACATTGATTTAATACCAGTTTTTCTTCTTCTCTCCATTTTAATTTAAAATGCAATGTATACATTTTTGTACTTAAGAGAAGTTTCTTTACAGCATGTATGTGTATGTAGAAGTCATCCTTACTAAATGGAGCTTACTCATAAAACAGGTTTGCATAAGTATGTAGGTCCTCTGCCTTATTTTAAATAAATCCAACTTCTTTTTGAAATAAACAGATTTCAGAAAGAAGATGAAATTATAATGAGAGAGGAATAAATCAATGGCTAATCTGGCTATCACTGCTACTGTAAACTGGGTAATAAAGTTCTGCTGCTTTAATTCTGTACAGTGAAATTGTGAAATTTAGTTCATAATCCAATTTAGGGTAATTTTTCATATTTTGTCAAGTATCACGTAAGCAGCTTCCAACAGCCAAAATATTACAGCAAGTTATTGAATGGAATACCTGACATCTTGTATCCTCCAAAGGGAAGCTCCACTGGACTGACATTATAATTGTTGATGAAACACATACCAGCCTGAAGACCAGCTGCTACTCTGTGGGCACGCTGGATATCTCTGTAAAGCAGAATGATAATTTAAATTCACTCTCATTTCCCTAGTATAAAGCCCATTATTTATTAACTCTTTCCTTGTGATACTGCTAGGGATATCTGCCATTTTAGTGAGGAATCGGAAAGTAAGGATAACATTCAGTTTTTATCAAATAAGAACCATGCAGCAAACAGCTTTTTGCCATGCTCCAAGTTGACTGCTTCCAGCCTCATAGCTGTCATAAATGTCTTATTCCTACATATGCAGCTCCACTTGCCACAGCCATCTCCCCACTCAACCTCCTGAAATATATTCCCTTTCTTGATTGTACCTGGTGAAGACACCTCCTGCCAGGCCAAAACGAGTATTGTTGGCTCTCTCTAAGACCTCTTCTTCTGTGTCAAAAGGTAGAATAGACATGACTGGTCCAAAAATCTCCTCTTTTACACATGTCATGGTGTCCTTACAGTTTCCTGGAAGCAACACAGGAATGATCATACAATATTAAGAAAACAGCTAAGCAGAATTTCAGAACTACTTTTTAAAGATATTTTTTGTAAGATCTGAGATAAACTTTTAAATTAAATAAATGGCCAGAGCACATCCTTAAATACTTAAATTTAAGTCCCACTTTAGAGAGTTTCAGTTTTAATCATCTGATCATGAAGTCTGTTTTTAATGTCTACAACATATCGGGCACTACGTTCCTCAATGCAATTGGCTTAATTAACCTCAGATCAATCTATAAGGCAATTTTTTCCAGTATAACTGACACTGCCTCCTGGTCTACATCTATATAACCATGAAAATAGAATCAAAGGATGGAAGGAACCTTGGAGATCTTCTAATCCAAACCTCTGTTTAAGGCAAAACACCTTAGACTATCCCAGTCAAACGGTTGTCCATTTCTTTTCTTGAAGACCTCCAACGATGGAGTACCCACAACTTCAGGAAATAAGCTGTTCCATTAATTGTTTCTCTTTAGTTCCAAATTGGATCTCTCTTTAACAAGCTTCACCCTTTGCTTCTTGCCCAGCCTTCAGGTGCTTTGGAGAATAATTTGACCCCCTTCTCCCTTTGATTGCCCCTCAAATACCAGAAGACAGCTAACAGTCACTCCTAATCTTTCTCTTCGTTAGGCTAGAGCAGAGGTAGGGCACCTTAGCTCTTTTATCATTTGTGGACTTCAATATCCAGAATTCCTGAACCAGCTATGCTGACTCAGGAATTCTGGGAGTTGAAGTCCACAAGTCATAAAAGAGCCAAGGTTCCCTACCCCTGGGCTAGACATACCTAGTTCCCTTAACCATTTCTCATGCAGCTTAGCCTCCAGACTCCTTAATATCTTTGTTGCTCTTCTCTGCAATCTTTCTAGGGACTCAGCATCTTTTTTTGTAATGTGGTGACCAGAATTGGATGCAGCATTCCAAGTATGGACTCACTAATGCAGTATACAGCAGTACTATCACTTCTCGTGATCTTGATGCTATCCCTCTGTTAATGCAGCCCAAGACCTCATAGGCTTTTTGGGCAGCTGCAGCACACTGCTGCATCATACTTAAGTGATAGTCCACTAAGATATCAAGATCCCTCTCACAGTTACTATTGTTGATACAGGTACCACCTATTCTATAGCTGTGCATTTAGTTTTTCCTGCCTAAATTCAGGACCTTACTTTTCTCTCCACTGAACTGCATCCTGTTAGCTCAGTTCTATTAAGATCCTTCTGAATCATCTTTCCAAGATGCTAGAAATTCCCCCCCCCCCCCCCCCCTTTNCCCCCCCCCCCCCCGATTTGATGTTGTCCGGAAATTTGATAAGTTCTCCTTCTATCTCATCTAGATAATTTATGAAGAAATTGAAGAGCATTGGGCCCAAGACAGAACCTTGAGGTATGCCAATGCATACTTCACTCCATGTAGATGTAGTTTCATTGAGGACTACACATTGAGTGTGGTTGGTCAGCCAGTTGTGAATCCATCTGGTGGATATAGGCTGTAGTCTACTTTGTCAAATGCCTTTCTGAAGTCTAAGTTAACTATATCCACAGCATTTCCTTGATCTTCTAATTTAGTCACTTTGTCAAAGTAGGCAATAAGGGTTGTCTGCCATGATCTGTTTTTAACTAACCAATGTTGATTTCTAGTATCTGTGTTCATTCCTAGGTGCTCTATTATCTTTCCCAGGATTTTCCTGGGTATTGATGTCTGGCTGGTCTGTAGTTTCCTGATCCATTCCCCCCCCTTTTAAAGATTAGAACCATATCAGCTCTTTTCGACTCCAGCAGTAGTTCCCTGGTGTTCCAGGAGCTTTGAAAAATTTGTTCAGTGGTTCCAAGATGACGTCTGCCAGCTCCTTTAGAACCATGGAGTGTAAACCATCTGGTCCTGGTAATCTGCACTTGTCTAGACTGGATAGGTATTCTCTTACTATTTTCTTGCCTATTTTGATTTGTATTCCTATTCTGTTTTTTACGGTACAGCTTCTGATAGGTTGGACTATTTTTTTCCTTTTGCATAAAGGTGATGGTACTGTCTATCCCACAATGTTTGATCTTACCAAGAAGTACCAAGAAGTGTTACCCTGTGGTAAGTTGGGTGGCCAATAAATTTAATACATACATACATACATACATACATACATACATACATACATACATACATACATACATAAATAAATAAATAAATAAAGTAGGCTGTGGAATTTATCAAATGCCTTGCTGTGGAATTTGTCAAGTAAACTATATCCACAGCATTTCCCTGATCCACTAATTTAGTCACTTTATCATTTTAATTTAATCACTTTTTAGCACCATGTTATTATCTTGTCTTCCCCCTACCCCTTTAGTCTAGTTTAGTAAGAGCAAAGTTTTGACTATGGTTAAAAAGTAGTGCATTAATAATATAGTATCCATACCTAAGACACAAGGAGACATATAAAAGCCATTTTTCAGACTGGGATCATCTGGCACAAATGCATCCCCTCCACACAGGACTTCTACACCCTAAAAAGTGTAACAGAAGATAATGGCAGAAAACCACAATGCATTTTAGGTATAATTAGCAAAACGTTGCCAACCTGTACAGGAAGGTACCAAAGCTTGAGTGCATATAATAAAACACTAGACTGGACAGAAGATTCTTTCTCTTGGTGTAATATCACTATTGGCAATAGAAATGAATCTTCTCCAATCACATAATGTCATGTAAGTGTTTGAAACCCAAATGGTTTGACATTTCATCATTTTGAAATGTTAACAGCATTGGAAGAAGCATGTGACTGACATGTTTCATTTCCTCATTTTTGCTACAATAGAGTAAGCTACTTCAAAATATTTATGATCAGGATACTCAGCAGATTGCCTTCTATATTAATCTAATCTAAATAAATTTATAGGGAAGAGCTAACTAAGACTTAAGTCAGTGCTTCTCAATCTTAACAACTTTAAAATAACTGGATTTCAACTCCCCTAGCCAGCATGCTGATTTGTACTGTGCCCAAACTTGCTGGCTGGGGAATTTTGGGAGTTAGAGTCCATCCATCTTAAAGTTGCTAAACCTGAGAAGCACTGACTTAAGTCTTAGTTAGCTCTTCCCTATAAATTTATTTTAAAAAGCAGCATATATGCTAGAGAGGTAGAAACAGACAAGGAACAAAGTATGTTTTTAGTTTCTGATTAAACTAGCTCTGTCTTTATGGATTTTTTTTTGCAAACTATAGAATTACTTGTAGGGACTTAACACCATAAAACCCTGAAGCTCTTAACTTAGCTCAGGTAAATATAGTACAATTATAACATAATCAAGATACAAAGTCATCAAGTATAGATTGGTAAGCAATTTCCTAATATAATATCCTGATTAAATTATTTTCTGTATTATCCCATGGAAGAAACAAACAGTAAGAGACTGTTTTTAATCAGAAGTTCGTATTATTGCATATAACCAGCAGACTATAAAAATTGCCACCAGTTAATTCAAGAATTTGCTCATTACCTGTCAGCTTTTGTATTACATTAGAAGTGAAATATGCGCTCCCTTTTACTGCCAATGTTTTTTTTACTCACTATACATTCCAATTAATTTCATAAAGTGTCTGGCAAGGGGTGGTTATTACTAATAATAGAGTGCACCCTCTTGTCAGCTGGGAGCTGACAAGATAATTGCAATTGTTGCTTGCTCTTGTTTTCTTTATTGGCTATTGATAAGAGTGAACAGCACACGGACTCTGAAGGGAAGCAATGGCTGATAGGTAAGTTGCGTTGCTTACAGATTTAGAAAGGGAAATAGCAATAGAAATTGGGTTATATATGAATATGGAATGGGAATGAACATTAAAATGAAAACAGAACTAATAAATGTTCTCTTGTATACTTATTAGAATAGAAGTAAGATCCCTAGCTAGTCTTGGTCATTTGTATCTCTCTGAGGACCTAATAAATGAATACAAACTCCCTAGGGTTTTTTATGATTGTAAACTGCCCAGAGTTACCCTGAGGTAAGATGGGCAGCCAATAAATTTTATAAATAAATAAAGAAGCAAAACTAATAGACCAGACCTCTTCCCTATTAGGTATAGGTACACACACACATTCACATATTATATCTATTTATTTATACTATAGGGGTTAGAGATGAGGCATTTATTTATTTATTTTGCATTAGTGAATGGTAATAAAAAGTGTTGAGGCATATTTTGTCCCTTAAAATCATCTAAAGCCAAAAAGGGTTCCACTGCTTACTAAGATGATACCATAACTTTACCAGCCACATGAGTTGTAGCCCTTACAGTCAAAACAGGTTAAACAAACCTGCATGTTTATTTAACATTACAGTCTTAAATTTGTTGAATATAGGTTGATGGGAGCCACACATGACCATAAAAAAAATTCTCTATGGTAAACACACTTCTGGTGGCATCATCTCAGCAGTGTGGGGGAAGGTGAACGGCTCCTGTTCCCAGAACCCGATTATTTCACGTTTTGGGGACCTTTTGGGGCGCAAGGAGCCTGGAGGGCTCGGCGGACTAGAGGGGAAGTCCAGAGTGCAGCGTAGTGAAAGGCGATCACTTGCTGCAAAGAAGTGGTTGTCAAATCAACGTGAAAGTGTCTGTCATCGTGCTATGGTGGACCCGAGGCTGCGATGATCCAGAGAGCACAAGGAAGAGAAGATTTGTATAGCAGACTGTGACATTTGAAGTGGAGATCAGTCTAAACCGCAAGGTTGAGGATTGCTTGGAAAAGTGAGTCTTGATTGTTTGGTTAAAAGAGATCTCCAGCTGGGGAGCGAGCGGCGTCTCGGGGAGGAGCAGTGATTCAGCAGAATACTTTCAAGTGCTAAAGAGGCGAAGAGGAGGACAGATAAAAGAGTTTGAGTTAGTCCTGTGGTGGTGAGACAGGCGGATTTTTTTTTGGTCAGAATCTGAAGGAAAGGAGAAAGTGAAGAAGGAGTGAGATTGGGTGTGTAAGAGCGACAGGAAAAGAAAAGAAAGGAGAAGAAGAGAAGCGGTGAGAGCAGACGACAGCACGCCATGATGGCAAGCATGTTCTGAATGGACGAGCACCCTAACCAGAAAGCAGAGAGAGAACCAGCCGCTTTAATAAAACTTTTGAACTGAGTGATTAGAAGATTTCGAGGATATATTTATATCTGTATCTAACCACCTATAAATTTGGATACATTGTTTACAATTTAGCATTTAAAATTAATTATATAGATATTTTGAATTGCTTATATATTGATAGCTGTAATTATTATTATTTTTGTACAAATTGATAATTATAATCAGAATCAAACTTATATATTAATCAATGGATTGTTAATATTTATAGTTATTTATATTTATATTTGTACTTATATAGATTTGCTTATTGATTTAATTTAAAGTTCTTGTGGGGTTATTGGTATTTAAGTTAAACAATTTGCTAAAGTTGTTTAAAGTTAATTAAGAATAGAGATAGCTAAGATTAGTGGAACTGATTATCATTTAATATTTAATACTTAATATTGTAAGGAAGGTAAAAATAGAAGGAAAAAAATAATAACAACAACAAAAGATAGACAGTAAATGGTTGATGACAGTGTGGAGAAATATTTATAGAATACTGGGAGAGCAAAGTAGGGTATTGAAAGAGATGACCAGTATTACAACAACGACTTTAAAGGCAGGGAAAAAAACAGCATCAAACCCAACAATAACAACGGCTTCCCCATTAAACCAAAGGTCGACAG